TCAATATTTAATTACATTATGAATACCCAAATCGTATAATTATACATATCTCTACACATATATTACCCGCTCTTCCATATCTATGGCAAGACATTGTACACATGCACACTTACATAAAATAAAAAAAAACCTTGTATGCCATTCTTTCCATATAAAAACATATACATGTACATATGAACAGGTGCATCAGTGTTCAAGTACATTATCATAGTTGTATACATACAGTCATGTGTTGGCGTTCATTCGTGCATAGTAATATTTCCAAAAGCAAAAGGAACAAAAGTCATTCAATATTATTCTTCCTCTATCATTATTTCTCAATGTATTTACTTAGGTTTAGGTTGTTTTTGTGCCGACATTTAAAAACTAGTTCATTGTGTCTATTTAGTAATAAGTCTGCATCTTTATGTTTGATTATGAAGATTTTCTTCTTTAAGCATAAGTCGCATCTGTCTCTGAAGTTTTTTGGAGTTCTGGCTCTTGATATTATTTTCCACTTTATTTGTGGGGTTTGTTGTAGCTTCTTTCTTTAATGTCGGTCTTCTCCCTCATCCCTTACCCATCTATATCTAGAGATAACATACATTAAGTTAAGCGGCATCTAGCCTACACAGAGTGGGGTTAAAGATAAGGAATTGAAATGGTACATCTAACTCACTGATATCTTCTCTCCCACCTTTTCATTTTTCATTTCAACCTTTGGAAGTAAAGTCTGATGATCCAGAGCCCTGTTAAAAGGGTTGTGGTGAAATAACTTATTACATGGAATCTTAACGTTGTCTGTTTTTATTCAAACATATCTGCTCTGAATTTTACATTGAGCTCTCTGGATATCCTCCTCCTTGGGTCTACCCATACGGATTACCTAGTTTTGCATAAACTAAATATATATATATATATATGTGTGTGTGTGTGTGTGTGTGTGTGTGTGTGTATGTATATATATACACTGCGTGCCAAATTATTATCGAGATAACTTTTTTCAATATTTCAAAACCCGTCCAATCAATTCACACAATATTGGCAACACTGAGCTGCAATCACTGAAATTTTCCATTTGATCTGCGCAATGTAAACAAATTGGTTATATTTGTTATCAGCACGGTGATTTGAGCGTGCCAAATTATTAGAAAAGTATAAGAATTTAGTGAAAAGATGGTCCGTAAAAGCAGTTTAAGTGATGCTGAAAAGAAAAATATTATCTCGGAACTCTCAAAAGGTAAATCTACCCTATTCCACTGGTAAGATATAAGTTCCACTCGAGCAGCTTCTCCCCGGAAACGGCTGTTTTTTGGGGGTTTTTTTGTGGAAGTGAGCCTCAGTAGGATGTCTACCTGATCACTATAATGTTAACCTATTCAAATCTCGGGTCATCTCAAATATTCCCCACATATCCGCATAAATTGTGACTCTTACACTGTAATTCTCTGCTTTGTGTGGCCTTCAGGTGTAATCATTTTAAAAATAACCGTCACATAGAAAAAAAACCCAGCAAGGTGTGCTCAAACAATACTGCGTTTTTGTCCCCGGGTTTATTTATCTTATATAGTGGTAATATTAAGATAATTAGAGATCCTAACAGGATTTATGATTTCTAATCTTTAACATACAATATACGGAGTTTATATCGTGTTGATGTCTGAATGAGAAAGAATTCTTAGAATCAAAAAACGTTTCAATATTTTTTCGTTAATAACAGAAAAGAAGATATTTATACAAACACAAGAAAAACATATAAAGTGCTAAACAAAAATAAATCATCGGTCTTGCTTAAAGAAAATACGTAGATGGTAATTGTTTGGATGAGGTTTTCGTTGTGGGACCTAGATTCTTCGAATTTAAGACTGGTAACGATGTCTCAACAATTTACAATGGACTTGGCTAGTTGTATCCGTAAGTTCTATGCTAACAGTTTATTATCTCTTATTTCTCGCTTGTGGAACAAACAGCCTTCTAGCTCCATGCTTTCCAGCCAACTTTAATCGGCAAAAATGTAAATGCAATGTAAATCGCTACCTGCTGTATCCCTGATAACTTTTCCACTCTTCTCGGTCCTTATCAATGCTTCTGTTTCAAACTCTTCCATACCCAGTAACCCTGTGGCTTTACTGCCTTGCTTGGGGTTAAATCACTTGTAATTTTGTTCCAGCTGGACAAGCTTGCTAACCATAAGACCACATCGAGATGCCCAACCCTATTCAATTGTATGGATATGAGTTTCTTATGAATATGTTAGCTCTCTCACTGATACTGAGGGCTTTCCACTAAGTACTACACATACAAAATTATATATATATATATATATTTCCAATAGCATTTTCGGATACAACAATACATATATTTTCGTTGTCCTCTTATTACTAAGAGAAAAAACAAGAACAACATCTATTCTATACCTGAAGATGTCTGTAGGAACAGACGAAAGCTTGTAGTAAAAATAAGAACTAATACGGCAGAAATTTATAGAAACAAGGATCATTTCATTCATAACGGATTCGGAGGTTTTTTGTATATTATTTGAATTGTTTGCGACGATGGATTTCTCGCCAATTAAATCATTAACCTTTGCATTTGTTTTTTGTGTGAATAATTCATGAATATATATATATATATATATATATATATATATATATATATAGTAAAAATTTATATTTTATATTATGTCTAAAAATTTCTACTTTATATTATGTCTAAAAATCATTTAAGAGGTCAAATTGTCGGGCCTTTTAACTGAGTACGCTTAAACCTAAGTAAGCTGTTAAGGATGTTTTTAAAAAAACACCCTTATCCCTATTTACATTCCATAATCCTCCAACCACTTCTGTCACCTTCAATCTGAAACTATCCCTTAAAAATTGTATTAAAAATAAAAGAAACCTAATTCAGGTGACCTGATGAACCAGGAAAAATATATTTTCTGGGCTAATAAATTATAGTCATGGAAACTTAAGGTTGTCTATTTCTTAATTATTTATTTATTTAATATATATATATATATATATATATATATATATATATATATATATATATATATATATATATATATATATATATATATAGAGAGAGAGAGAGAGAGAGAGAGAGAGAGAGATTGGACTCTCCTGTCGGTCTTCTGACGTATGAGAGTCTAGCAATTTTAGTTCTAGGAAGCGACAGCCAGACGCCTGCAAGTATCCTTTGATTATAGTATGAAGGCTTTGTGCTGAACCATCCACACGTTTTTAAGAGCCGAATACAGAGACCTGGTGCACCGTGTGCCACAAGGTCCTCAAACGACTCTCTACGGGTATTGAATTCAGAATTGTCATTCTAAACCAGTGGTCATCCCAGGCTATAGATCTCAGTCTGTCCTGCTAATTACCCATAACTGGGGGAGAGGAAGAAGATGCATACCTTTCCGAAGGATATTTTCTTTTTTATGTGCCAGGACGTAGGCTCTCCACCTTTTCTATCCCTTGCAGCTCTTAACAAGTTCCTGCCCTCTGCTACCTCCCGCAGACCACGTTCTGTCATCCTCTTGCTTAAGGTCGCTAGGTATGTCATGCGTTGTTTTCCCTTGTCTCTCTTTCCCTCTATTCAACCCACGAGTATCAGATTTTCCAGGCCCTCCTTCCTTATTATGTGTCCCAGAAATTTCAGCTGCCTCTCCCTGATGTTAAGTTTATGCCTCCTCCTTGTTTGCAACCTCTCTAAGACCTCATTGTTGCTCACATGCTCGGTCCATGATATCCTTAGCATCCTTAGCGCCTGACTGTAATGGGTCAGAGTGGAATTCGAACTCAGCTCTCCGTCCGATTCTTCATTTCGAGCCACTATCCATTACTCTACCGTATCTACTCATATATATATATATATATATATATATATATATATTTGTGTGTGTGTGTCTGACTGAATAAATTACAGACATTATGTCTGCTAATTTTTAACAAAATCCGTACATACTCACGAATAAACTTCCATTTATTGGTGTTAAAGGATGAGAAATGATCAATAGACGTTTAAATTTCCTTTAATTTCATTTCCTAAGTATTTCCCAATGGATAACAACGTACAACTTTGTATAAATACTTATAATTAATGAAAAACATATAGTTTTGTATTACTTGGGCCCCTGAAGATGATCATGGAAGAAGATCGAAAGTACTTGGGAAGTGAAAATAAAAGAAATTTAAACAGCTATAGCACATTTCTCTCATCCTTTAACATCAATACACGGAAGGTTATTCGTGAGTATGAACGGATTTTGTTAAAAATTAGCAGACTTTATGTCTGTAATTTATTTAGTCAGATATGCCTAAAAGAGAATTTGTGCTTAAATACAACATATAGTTTTGTACCACTTGCAGCCCTGATGATGATCTAGGAAGAAGATCGAAAGCACTTGGGAAAATACATTCGAGAGATAAAAATAGAAAGAAAATAATAATATTGTTAATTTGTATTTTATACTAGTAGGGCTTCTAACCAAATGGAAGCCTTACATAAATCCTCTACAACCGTACCCGTGGTATACATCTAGCCCAAAACTACCGTATCTCTTCAGTAATGCGGAAAAAAATGAGTCCGGAAAAAAAATTTACACTTCATTTTTCATTTCTGGTCTTGTTCAGAAAGGATAGAGTTGTGTCTAAAAATTCCGATTCATAACATCTTTTCCTGTCCCGCTTCAATTAGGTCAAAAGGCCGACTAATATACAATAGATATTTTTAATCTTATTATAAATATTAATATTTTGGTTGTCTTTTTTATCTCTAGTATTTATTTCATCGGACTATTATATACACACACAAACGTGCACACACACACACGTATATATATATATATATATATATATATATATATATATATATATATATATATATATATATATATGCATACATATATATGTGTGTGTGCGCAAATGTGTTCGAATTTTTAAACGACTGTAGATTTCTATTAATTGCCATTGTATATACTATATTAGATTTTTTTTATTGTGTTGTACACAGAAAATCACTTTGGCCATAATGGTGTCATTTTCAACAGAAAGAAAGAATGAGATTAGAAAGAAAGAAAGAAAGAAAGAAAGAAAGAAAGAAAGAAAGAAAGAACAGAGGTAGGGAAAGAAAGAAAGAAAGAAAGAAAGAAAGAAAGAAAGAAAGAAAGAAAGAAAGAAAGAAAGAAAGAAAGAAGGTAGGCAAAGAAAGAAAGAAAGAATGAAAGAACAAAGAAAAAAGAAAGAAAGAAAGAAAGAAAGAAAGAAAGAAAGAAAGAACAGAGCTAGGGAAAGAAAGAAATAAAGAATGAAAGAACAAAGGTAGGCAAAAAAAAAAAGAAAGAAAAAAGAAAGAAAGAAAGAAAGAAAGAAAGAAAGAAAGAAGAGTCCCGATAAAAAGAGAGAGAGAGAGAAAAGACCTAAGAGAAAAAAGAAAGAAAGAGTCTAGAATTGTTGTAATGTTGTCATAGGAATTAGGAAGAGTGTAGTTAGAGTATCAAAGGAATGAAAGACGAGGATGGGAAAAACCAAATACTCTTCCAATTCTTTCCCTAATGGGGTTAATTGCCATACTTATAAATAGGATCAGTCCATTTGTCACTGTTGTAATGAAGGTAGGATGTATGTTGAGTCTTACTTGCAACAAGAATAAAGAAAAAATGAATCTAGAAAGAAAGAAGAAAAAAGAAAAAAAGAAGAAAATAAATTCGCTAAATGAAAGAACGAAAATCACACGAAGAATTTAAATACAGAAAAGAGTAAAAGCTTAAAAAACACGGATGGTTAGAAGAAAGAAAATAAAAAAATATAGAAATATGAAAGAAAAAAGAGAGGAAGGGTAAGGAAATATATGTAGATGAAAAAAAATAGGAATGAAAAATGAAGCAAAGAGAAAAGAATGAAAGTAGCGAGTGGCAGTAGGATAGAAAAAGAGGACGAACTGACAAAATAGGCGGAAAGAATAGTAAAAAAAAAAGAAATAACGAGAAAGTAAAAATGTCGAAAGGAATAAAGAAAGAACGAAGGAAGGAAGAAAAGGTACAAGGAAGAAATTAATTAAAGCATTAAAAAAAAAGAAACACAAGAGTCTTTCGTTCTTTCTTTTTCGTTTTAAATATGCATTGAGTCATTATTTTGTGTGTATATACGTAAAGCCATTAACAAAGATGAAAATAAAAACAACACCTGCCTCGTACGCGACTAATACAGATGCATGCTAATTAACTGTTCGGTGCAAATTAAGTCGACGACGTGACCGACATGTTACTTTTCAAATGGCGCTACAAAATCGGCAATAGGTGAATACTAACCATGACTATAAAGTTAGCCATACCGGCGCCTTATCTTTGATAAGGCAATATCAACCGTCAACAAATTTACGATCAATTCGAGTATAAAACGTGAGGAAGGTGCCTAGAAAGATAAACCTGCTTCTATTTACTTTGTTCGGACTATGGTCCTCATCCTTGTTGCCATATTTATCACAACGTTTCGACCGTTGTACGCTCCGGCCTTCCTCAGGTGGTTGCAAATTCGAACTGAACATCTTTATTTCGCTCGCTGGGGTAGACTGATCTAGTTCCACGTGCCATGTCTAATGGATGTCAGTTATCTCCTGTTAATATTTACAATAAATTATTTTAAAAAAATTCAAATATTTATAAAGCAAATACTGATATTATTCTCCTAGAGACTTCCTTTCATAAATCTTTAAAAAAAATATTCAAATATTTATAAAGCAAATACTGATATTATTCTCCTAGAGACTTCCTTTCATAAATCTTTAAAAAAAATATTCTAATAATGTTAAAGCAAATACTGATATTATTGTAAATTTTTCCATAAATCTTTTAAAAATATTCAAATATTTATAAAGCAAATACTGATATTATTCTCCTAGAGACTTCCTTTCATAAATCTTTTAAAAAAAAATATTTTCAAATAATTATTCTCCTAGAGATTTATAAATCTTTAAAAAAAATATTCAAATATTTTAAAGCAAATCGATATTATTCCTAGAGACTTTCTTTCATAAATCTTTAAAAAATATTCAAATATTTATAAAGCAAATACTGATATTATTCTCCTAGAGACTTTCTTTCATAAATCTTTAAAAAAAATATTCAAATATTTATAAAAGCAAATACTGATATTATTCTCCTAGAGACTTTCTTCCATAAATCTTTTAAAAAATATTCAAATATTTATAAAGCAAATACTGATATTATTCTCCTAGAGACTTTCTTCCATAAATCTTTTAAAAAAATATTCAAATATTTATAAAGCAAATACTGATATTATTCTCCTAGAGACTTCCTTTCATAAATCTTTAAAAAATATTTCTGATATTATTCTAGAGACTTTCTTCCATAAATCTTTTAAAAAATATTCAAATATTTATAAAGCAAATACTGATATTATTCTCCTAGAGACATTCTTCCATAAATCTTTTAAAAAATATTCAAATATTTATAAAGCAAATACTGATATTATTCTCCTAGAGACATTTCTTTCATTCCAAAATTATTCAAAAATCTGATATTATTCTCTAAAAAAATTTAATAAAAATATTAAATATTTATAAAGCAAATACTGATATTATTCTCCTAGAGACTTCTTTCATAAATCTTTTAAAAAAATATTCAAATATTTATAAAGCAAATACTGATATTATTCTTATAAAGAGACTTTTCTTTCTTTCAAATTTAATAAAAAATCAAATATTTTTGCAAAAAAATATTAAAATATTTAAATAAAAAAGCAAATACTAAAGCAAATATTATTATTCTAGAGACTTTCTTTCATAAATCTTTAATAAAATATTCAAATATTTATAAAGCAAATACTGATATTATTCTCCTAGAGACTTTCTTCCATAAATCTTTTAAAAAAATATTCAAATATTTATAAAGCAAATACTGATATTATTCTCCTAGAGACTTTCTTTCATAAATCTTTAATAAAAATATTCAAATATTTATAAAGCAAATACTGATATTATTCTCCTAGAGACTTTCTTTCATAAATCTTTAATAAAAATATTCAAATATTTATAAAAGCAAATACTGATATTATTCTCCTAGAGACTTTTCTTTCATAAATCTTTAATAAAAATACTCAAATATTTATAAAGCAAATACTGATATTATTCTCCTAGAGACTTTCTTTCTTTAAATCTTTAAAAAATAAATATTTTAAAGCAAACAAAAATACTTTCTTTCATAAAAATAAAAATATTTATAAAGCAAATACTGATATTATTCTCCTAGAGACTTTCTTTCATAAATCTTTAATAAAAATATTCAAATATTTATAAAGCAAATACTGATATTATTCTCCTAGAGACTTTCTTTCATAAATCTTTAATAAAAATATTCAAATATTTATAAAGCAAATATTGATATTATTCTAAACTTTCTTTTTAAATCTTTTAATAAAAATATTCAAATATTTATAAAGCAAATACTGATATTATTCTCTAGACTTTCTTTCATAAATCTTTAAAAAAAATATTCAAATATTTATAAAGCAAATATTGATATTATTCTCCTAGAGAAAAAATAAAATATTCAAATATTTATAAAGTTAAATACTGATATTATTCTCCTAGAGACTTTCTTTTTCATAAATCTTTAATAAAAATATTCAAATATTTATAAAGCAAATACTGATATTATTCTCCTAGAGACTTTCTTTTCATAAATCTTTAATAAAAATATTCAAATATTTATAAAGCAAATACTGATATTATTCTCCTAGAGACTTTCTTTCATAAATCTTTAATAAAAAAATATTCAAATATTTATAAAGCAAATACTGATATTATTCTCCTAGAGACTTTTTTTTCATAAATCTTTAATAAAAATATTCAAATATTTATAAAAGCAAATACTGATATTATTCTCCTAGACTTTCATTCATAAATCTTTAAAAAATATTCAAATATTTATAAAGCTAAATACTGATATTATTCTCCTAAAGACTTTCTTTCATAAATCTTTAATAAAAATATTCAAATATTTATAAGGCAAATACTAAAAAAATTATATTATTCTCCTAGAGACTTTCTTTCATAAATCTTTAATAAAAAAAATATTCAAATATTTATAAAGCAAATACTGATATTATTCTCCTAGAGACTTTCTTTCATAAATCTTTAAAAAATATTCAAATATTTATAAAGCAAATACTGATATTATTCTCCTAGAGACTTTCTTTCATAAATCTTTAAAAAAATATTCAAATATTTTAAAGCAAATACTGATATTATTCTCCTAGAGACTTTTCATAAATCTTTAATAAAATATTCAAATATTTATAAAGCAAATACTGATATTATTCTCCTAGAGACTTTCTTTCATAAATCTTTTAAAAAAAATATTCAAATATTTATAAAGCAAATACTGATATTATTCTCTAGAGACTTTCTTTCATAAATCTTTAAAAAAAATATTCAAATATTTATAAAGCAAATACTGATATTATTCTCTAGAGACTTTCTTTTCATAAATCTTAAATAAAATATTCAAATATTTATAAAGCAAATACTGATATTATTCTCTAGAGACTTTCTTTCATAAATCTTTAAAAAAATATTCAAATATTTATAAAGCAAATACTGATATTATTCTCCTAGAGACTTTCTTTTCATAAATCTTTAAAAAAATATTCAAATATTTATAAAGCAAATACTGATATTATTCTCCTAGAGACTTTCTTATAAATCTTTAAAAAATATTCAAATATTTATAAAGCAAATACTGATATTATTCTCCTAGAGACTTTCTTTCATAAATCTTTTAAAAAAATATTCAAATATTTATAAAGCAAATACTGATATTATTCTCCTAGAGACTTTCTTTCATAAATCTTTAATAAAAATATTCAAATATTTATAAAGCAAATACTGATATTATTCTCCCAAGAGACTCTTTCATAAATCTTTAATAAAAATATTCAAATATTTATAAAGCAAATACTGATATTATTCTCCTAGAGACTTTCTTTCATAAATCTTTAATAAAAATATTCAAATATTTATAAAGCAAAATACTGATATTATTCTCCTAGAGACTTTTTTTTCATAAATTTTAATAAAATATTCAAATATTTATAAAGCAAATACTGATATTATTCTCCTAGAGACTTTCTTTCATAAATCTTTAATAAAAATATTCAAATATTTATAAAGCAAATACTGATATTATTCTCCTAGAGACTTTCTTTCATAAATCTTTAATAAAAAATATTCAAATATTTATAAAGCAAATACTGATATTATTCTCCTAGAGACTTTCTTTCATAAATCTTTAATAAAAATATTCAAATATTTATAAAGCAAATACTGATATTATTCTCCTAGAGACTTTCTTTTCATAAATCTTTAATAAAAATATTCAAATATTTATAAAGCAAATACTGATATTATTCTCCTAGAGACTTTCTTTCATAAATCTTTAATAAAAATATTCAAATATTTATAAAGCAAATACTGATATTATTCTCCTAGAGACTTTCTTTCATAAATCTTTAATAAAAATATTCAAATATTTATAAAGCAAATACTGATATTATTCTCCTAGAGACTTTTTCTTTCATAAATCTTTAATAAAAAATACTCAAATATTTATAAAGCAAATACTGATATTATTCTCCTAGAGACTTTCTTTCATAAACTTTACCAAAAAGACCAAATATTTTCATAAATTTTTAATAAAAATATTCAAATATTTATAAAGCAAATACTGATATTATTCTCCTAGAGATTTTCTTTCATAAATCTTTAAAAAAAATTATTCAAATATTTATAAAGCAAATACTGATATTATTCTTCCTAGAGACTTTTCTTTCATAAATCTTTAATAAAAAAATATTCAAATATTTATAAAGCAAATACTGATATTATTCTCCTAGAGACTTTCTTTCATAAATCTTTAATAAAAATATTCAAATATTTATAAAGCAAATATTCTCTGATATTATTCTCCCCTAGAGACTTTCTTTCATAAATCTTTAAAAAAAATATTCAAATATTTATAAAGCAAATATGATATTATTCTCCTAGAGACTTTCTTTCATAAATCTTTAAAAAAAATATTCAAATATTTATAAAGCAAATATCTGATATTATTCTCCTAGAGACTTTCTTCCATAAATCTTTTAAAAATTATTCAAATATTTATAAAGCAAATACTTTGATATATTATTCTCCTAGAGATTCTTTCATAAATCTTTTAATAAAAATATTCAAATATTTATAAAGCAAATACTGATATTATTCTCCTAGAGACTTTCTTTCATAAATCTTTAAAAAATATTCAAATATTTATAA